ATTTTTATGTACATGCGGTGGAATGAAGGCAACACCCCGCCAAATGGTTAACAACAAATTGGGACGATTTTTATTGGAATTGCAGCAGGGTACAACAGTTGAAAAGAATGAGAACGGAAGAGATAATGAAATGAATTAGGTGTTTGCTTTTATAAAGATGCTAATTTTAGTTAAATCTCAGATGTTGTTCTTCGTTTTGTCACAAACCTTTAAGCTTCACAAAGAGAATAAGATCGTTACAATATCTTATTTTGGGAGCCGTCAGTTGACTGTGCTCTCTGACTCGTGGGTTTGAAAAACATCGTGTACAGTACTTCGTGAGTAGTACAGTACTTCGCAACGATAATCCCCTCCCCAATCCAAATTATTTAGCAGATATTCTTCCCACGTCCCAAGTTTAACAATTAGCTCGCCCAGTAAACTACTTCCATCAAGAACAACCTCCGACTTTTAATTAATTTTACCACTTCTCTTGACCTTCCGTCTAGAAATGAATAATTGTCTGCTTCTAATTTTTCTTAGCGCATATAGTATCAAAAAGGCCTTTTACATCGTTTGTAACACCTATCATTATAAACGTTTATAACATCTGTTTTTATAACAATCTTTTATAACATCTTTTATAAACTTTTATAACACCTTTTAACATGCGTTTTTGACTTTGTAAAACCTTTTGTAACACCTTTGTAGCACCTTTTATGAAGCAGCTTTAACTACCTATTAAAGACTCCGCGGTTCATGTTGAAAATGAATCAAGCGGTAAAAATTTGGAGTAAATCCTACTAAAATTAGAACTTAAGTTTTATCTCTTTCTAACTTAAGCAAGTTAAAGTCCCCTTTTATCAAAATGGAGCTGGCTCAGTATCCAGTGCAAAGAACGATCATTCTGTTTAAATCAACCATCCAAAATTAAGATATTCATTTTGATAAGCTTGACACCAAAAATTTAAATTTCTCCATTTTTATGAGCTGGAATATAAATAGACCTTGAAATTTTAAATGACCGCATGCCGCAATGTTGAGTTACTGACAAGAGACTTGACTATTTAGGTCACTAATAAGATTTGAGCCATCTGTAAATTTTTTACGGTCTAGACGCATTTTATGTTAGGGGAGTTAGGAATGGATATAAAGGGTTTAACTTATCTCTAAAAAACATCATTATCTTTTAAAACTCAAATAATTTGTTTTTTAGTAGCGTTTATCAATCGTTTTGAAGATGAAACTAATCGGATGTCCTTGGTCCCCACTGTGAGGATATTAGCCACACCTCTCGAGTGAACTGAAGATATTGAATCTTCCAAGGGTCAAACAGGTCCCCTGCAACCCTGTGCCCTACCTTCCTCTGGCGAGTCAAGATACAGCGAAAGTGGTGGGCTACTGATGAGCGAAAGAATAAGCTGACATAAAGCACTCAAGAATTGCTACAATTAAAGAGTGGATTTTTTGTCTCCGTACCTGAAGTAAACTTTCAGTCAGAGGATCTCACTATATTATTAACTGTCCCTCCATCAGCTTAATTGGTGCCGACAGCGCAATGTTTGTATGTATCTGCGGTGGGGAAAACGCAACACCCAGGTCAAATGGTGAGTGACACTGTGGCGTGTACTGACTGCAAACCGGCTTACAACTGTTGAAAAGAAAATGCGGGATTATATACTAGTTACTTTAAAAGTTGTTAAATTTAAAATGGATTTTTATCTTGTAACCTCAATACATGTTTTTTAATTATTGTTCCGTGCACTTAAGCATTTATTTAAAAAAAATAAACTAGTAACATCCTGTCCCTAGAACTACAGTTGGTTTACCAATGGAAAATCAAACAATCACCCCAATTCTAGAGGTATTAGCTTGTTTAAACAAGAATTTCGAGCTCGAACAAGAATGGTCATCTGTAAATACTGACTCCTAAGAGAGCTGACATTAACTCATTACCTACCCTCGCGCCTCCCCCCCCCCCTTCCCCACCCTTATCATATCTTACAATTAGCACCCAACAGCTGAACAAGATAGCAGGATGCCCTTCAAAATATTTTTTCAGACACTGTTTGAAAAATTCATATAAATTAGAGTAAAATAATTGAATTCTCCAGACAGCTGGCCCTGTGCCACAAAACAGCTTGTAAATAAGCCAACTTCGACTTAAATTGATTTAACATAATATATTCGGTCGTGCTGAAATCGAATATCATCTGGTTAACTTTTTTTAGCGCATATATTATAATATATAATATTAGGAATAACAACCAGAAATGGGACTTACTTTTCTAGCAAATTTCAAGATGAAACTGCTCGGCTGTTTTGTTTTGCCTTGATTTACTAAGCCATACCCACCAAATAAACTGAAGAGCTTGAGTACCCCCGACGGTGTAACCGGTTCTCCTCCATGTGCCCTTGGACCTGCCTCCTGGTGTTGCCAGATCAACGATACTGACGCCTACAGCTGGAGAGAGTGGACTGGCCAAGCAGGCAGATATTAGTCAACAATTACGGACTGTGGATTTGGTTTCCTCGCCAGTTTGTAACCGTCCGACAGTGCGAGGTGCCACCTTGACAATCAAAACCTGTCCGCACCCTCCGTATAATGGGGCCAGCAAAGGATGTTTGGTTTGATGAGTCACGACAGCAGCGGTAACGCCTGAGCGCATGATCAGGTGAAATGTGACGTGTTTTGGAGCGCTTCGGGTATGACAGTTAAGAAGAACACAGGGTTCTCAACAAATTTTAAGAAGAAATGTCTGTCATAAAATTAAGAAGAGTTTTAGTTTCCCTCGTTTAAATTAAGCAGAAACAATTTTTCAAAATTTAGTGTAAATGTGTTGAGCTGTTTAAGGTTGATGGTAACATTATTTTTAGTGGTTTTTATAAATTTCCCCCGTTCCTTGTCGTAAAAAGTAGTGTCTATAAAATTGTCACGCACACCAATGGATCATATTAAGGGTTTACTCAGAACGCCCCCCCCCCCCCGTCAGAACCACCCAGATTTATGTCTCGATATATTGACTACTGGGCGCCGGAGGGTGGACTTAAATACTGTTTTTAAGTATATTTTTTTTGGATGAAGGACACGATGTGAGACATTATTTGGTCCGTCCGCCTGAAGCTGTCACGTCATGTCCACCCCAGAAGTGTATCTATCATATACCGGGAGGTTCTGGTGATGAACGCATATCAAATTTGGACCACCGTGACAGCGATTCTATGTTTAAAAGCTTGCAACCTATGGAAGGCTGATTGGTTAATCACTACGCTGTCCACGTGTTACCTGTCACGTGTTTATCTGTCACGTGTTAACTGTCACTGGTTTTACCTTGGAAACTACTCCCTTCCTCTCCCAGGTTATCTCCGCTCTGTTCACGGTTATCTGTCCACGTGTTATCTGTCCACGGTGTTACCTGTCTAAGTGTTACCTTGGAAACTAACACCCATCCTCACCCGGTTATCTCGCCTGGAGGTTTTCTCTCAGAAGGAGAATCAGGCTCTTACCTGAAGCTATACTAACCTACTGTTATTGTAATGCAGCCGGATTGGGTAAAAGACTGGATAAAACTCCACCGAGGCTGTTACAAGCAGGGTAGCCTTGTAATTTACTCCCTGATTAGTACTATTACATATTTTAAAATACCACATATATCTTCTAATCTTTGCACGTGAGTTTCTCGCCGAGATACTCCAGTCAGTCCAGAATTAAATGGAAGTTTTCACACGCGATCTCAAAGTTTAATTGGGTTCCAGGGTGAACTTACAATCTCAAGTTTGAATTGTGTTTTGGGGTAACGTACATTACGGAGTACAAGGTAAATGAAGAACGTAAGCCTTATTATTTGTAGCTTTTAGCTGCCCTTACCTTCAATTAAACTGTAATCGTTCAATGGAATTGTAGAAAAGACTGAATATTTGTTTTTTATTTACACTTTAATAATGCGAAAATTGTTTAGAAACACGTTATTCCAGGAAGCTTTAGATTGTCCTGTCCATTTTAACAATTTTTTTATAGTTATCTTAGTTTTTAACAACCACTCATCAGTTCTGCCCATAATTCTAAAACATCACATGGTGGCTAATGTCCTGCTGTGATATGTATGTATCTTGCAAAAAAACTTCGTCTGTGGGTTAGCAAAGAAAGACCAGATTTAAAATAAAAAGATACCATGAATTGAGTTAAAAGTCTGACTGAATAACAATAAATCTCGTAAATAATTTAATTGCAACGCATAGTCCCCCTTAAAACAATTTTTCTTGTGTCCTTAAACAAGCCCGCCTAAACTACAACCCAGTCACTCCACTCACTTCGAGTTTTTGATTCCCTGACATTATTGGTCAACTATTTAAATTCTAAAGAAATTTTTTTTAAAGCAGGAACAATCCACATCTGATTTCTTGAGAGATAAGGGCCATAACTAATCACCAAATATCGGACATGTGTATTTTCAATGTACATTTTAACACTGTTTGTATTGCAGTTCCTAACCTTAGGCTCTTTTCACAAATTACTGGGGCGATCCTTGTATATCATTTTGCACGCGACATAATTAAGTTTACAATGATGGGAATTCCAGCTCTATGCTTATATCTGTGTTGCTAAGTGGATAGGTTGGTGTGAAATATTTTATGACGAAATAAACCAGATCATGTTCCTTTTGTGGGAGATATTTTTGTAAACGTCCAGCATTCCAGAGTCCGTACTGTTTGGTGATTTAATGTTGTTGATTGCATAATTTATTGAAAAATATATTATATTTCAGTTATTATGTATCGCGATGGAAATATTTTAAGCGGGTAATGTCCTGTCCAAACCCAGGATACATAACATGAAGATTTTGTTATAACTTGTATGAAAAGTATTAATACTACTGATCGTACATCGTTTCAAGTAGAGCTAAATGGTTATAATTATTGATAAGAATTTCTGGGTTTCAGAAATAAAGGTTAAGTAACTTACAAGAAATAGTGCAATAAAATAAAGCAGTGGTTATGACTGAAGGACAGGAAAAGAAATGATGTCAGTGTTTAACCACGTAGGAAAATCTATCAAAAAAATATAAATCAGTAAAACTCTGTTTAAGAAACGCTGTTTGATTACCACCGTTTACCACAGTTAACTGTTCAGCCATTACTTTACCACAGAACTTAAGCCCTGTACTTTACCTGCAGTGCGTGTCAGTAAACAAGGCAGACTACGATGGCAGGACCCCACTGCACCTGGCTGCCTGCGAGGGGCACTGTGAGGCTGCAGAGTTCCTCCTCAAGAACGGAGCTATAGTTCATTGTAAGGACAGAGCTGGTAATACTCCCCTGGTGGACGCTATCAAAAACAAGTTTGTACTTTAACTTACAAAAACAAGTTTGTACTTTAACTTACAAAAACAAGTTTGTACTTTAACTTACGCTTTACAGCTGCTGTTACAGATAAGTTAATATCAATCTTCCGATACAGTTTATCTTCCATCATCGTATATTTAATTGTATTTAATTATATTTAGAATATAACCGTTATCTTTTGCCGAGCGTTTTTTAAGGTTTCTTTTCGAGTGTAGAAAGGTAGAAATTTACTTGAGGATTTACGATGTCTTTAAACCCCATTCATTGCACCTTCTCTGCTCGTGGACTGAATTCTAGTTAGATTTGTCATTTGCATCAGAATTTTAATTTAATTTTCTCTGTTAAATAAATTAAGCGGTAAAGCGTGTTAAACTATCAAACTCATGGTCACCGAAACAGATTACCGCTCCGTTGATCGAGTTCCCAAATTTATCGATCTAAAAAATGTATCCGTGATGAGCGTGATCTAATATTTATATCCTAACTTTATACCCGTGTGTTACAATCAACATACCATGATCAAGGCTTTTTCACTTTTTCAGGACCATGCAAACGTAAACGTGATTATATTTTTCTACATTTTTCTAAAATGTAAAAAAATTCGAGATGTGATTATAATATACCCCATAACGTCCTACCCGCACGACGGCAAAATACACTGACCAATTCACCCCAGTTTTTTGAGAAGCTTCCGATTAAGTCTCTGTTTCTACAGAGTATGGGTTTCTGCTAAAAAGTGCGGAATTTTTCTAAATTAGCTCACCCTCGCCCCTCATCTCAATAAAAATTATTCTGTACAATTCTGTGCTTGTCAATCCTGCCAACGAAGAAGAGTACGTACATTTTACATCTTTTATATACTTTCTAGGTTACACATTACCTTACATTAAACATTACATAACCTTACATAACATTACAATTAACATTACATAACATTACAATTAACATTACATAACATTACATAACCTTACATAACCTTACATAACCTTACATAACCTTACATAACCTTACATAACCTTACATAACATAACAATCAACATTATTTAACTTCTTCAGACGTACAGATGTGGTAAAGTTGATGCTAAAGGCGGGGGCTCACCTTCAGTATTCAGATATACAGATAGCAGATGCCTTGTGCTTGTAAGTAATGCTAATAAGTAATATGTGCTCGTAAGTAATGCAGTAACTTGTTAGCAACTTGTAACTTTAGTAAGTAGTAAATTGTTAGTATCTTAATGATAGAAGCGATAATCAATAGCTATTTGTTAGTAAAATGCTCCACGAAAGAACAAAAGACACAATATAATTAAACAATCGATTCGCAGCCTGGAGCAAGATATTAGTTTCGTGGTACAGTTATTTGCTCTTCTGATGACTTTGAAACATCGCCACAGATCTCAAGTCGAGCTGAGAGTTTTCATTATGCAACAATCGGCATACAATAGATCTGTTGACTGATGTTGTTATCTAAGGAGCAAAATCAACAATTAGATCAACAACTCAGTTCGTTATATAAAGACGGTTCACTTTGGCGAAGGCTTCAGCGCCTTTAATTTTCACCATTTTAAAGGCTTCACCATCTTTAAATCAGCGCAACCCGTCTTTGCTGGTAGAAGTATGGTCAGTGTGTGAAATGTGTTCTATTACATCCGCGTCCGATCTATTTTGAGACCTATTGTGGCGTCTTTAATTTGTCAATTTGAAGCCTTGCCGTCTTTAATTTTTTTTCATTTCAAGGCTTTGTCTTTATAAAGCGCGTCAGAAAACAAACTAAGTGTAATTAGATCAACAGTAATTATCAATCCACTATTTTCTGGAAACACAGCTATTTTCTGGCAAGCAAACGTAACTTCTAGAGAATTCGAACGTATTTTCTAGAAATATATTCTTAAACGTAGCGCGCTAACGCCGAATCATTAATTTATATTTAAAGTAACTTGATGGTATGAACGTCAATAACAGAATGAACGAATCGATCGAACGAACGAGTGAGCTAGCTAGCTAGCTAGCGAGAAGTATTTTTCGGCTTCACGCGTGTATAATTGATGGGTGCTGTTACACAAAACTAATGATAAACTATAAAGATACAATGCATATCACACATGTAATATTGACCGTCGAAATGCAATCTCGGTTACAGTTCAGTTGGCTGTTTGACAGAAAACTAGGAATTTTCAAGTAATCGCTATACTTTTGTATTATATCAGCTATTTTCTTTAAATGTGTAACTGTATATTATGTACGTTGTTTCGCTCATCGTTGACAAGTGCATTATAGACCTCTGACCAATGTATTCCCCGCCAGGTCCGTTATGGAGAATGATCCAGAACAGTTAGATCTGTGGGTGCTCGCAAAAGCCAACCTTAACGCAATAGGGTCCGGAAAATGCACCCCTTTACACATGGTATGTTGTTACTTGTTAATTAATTTAGCTTACCAATCTATTTAACTTGTTTATTGATTTAACTTATTAATTGTTTCTTAACCTTTTTTAAATAATTGTGTTGAGTTAAAGTGTTCGTCTGAGTCGATAACTTGTGAGCTTGTTTTGGAGGGGGTTTCACTGGGCATCATTCACTCGGGAATACTGGGTATAATTCTGCATCAACTATATATCTGTTCAAAATTATATTAAATGTAATGTAATAAATCTCACTGCAGAGTGTGATGTTCAATTCGGTGGAATGCTACAAGAAACTACTTGAATGTGGAGCCGACCGAACGGTATGGTTTTATCATGTTTTACAACAATTGGATATTTGTGCACCAAAGAATATCAAAAACTAGTTTCAAACCCTAGTTTATGATTGTACAAAGCACCTATTATAATATTAAGAAATAAGTTATTTCTCTGAATTGCTGACGATAATCTTATTTCAGTTGAAGGATTTAGGTGGGCTGACTGCTGAGGATATGATCTCAGTCCTTAATAGAACCGGTTTCTCGTGATAGTCTTCTGACAGTCTGGAAACTCTTTAGGATATTCACCTAGCTAACGAATACGCAATATAACGGAGTACGGCTGCGACAAACTTATAACCACGATTGGTCTAATCTTGTGCAGCATTGGTCCGACCATGAACAAAACCGCTGTAATCTTGCACAAAATTGGTCTAATCTTGTGCGAAACTGGTTTACTCTAGTTCAAAATTGGTCCAATCTTGGTTGAATGTTTGTCACGGATAGGAAATAGTAAAAGGTCACTATGACTAAGTCAGTATGGCGAATTTTACTATTAACTTTTATACACTGCATGCGATTTATGATATTTTTACGTAGGAAATTATGTTACGTGTGTTTAAGTGCTGAACTTGTATTAAATGAAAGTTATGAACGTAGATTTTAATTTACGATACTGCACTATGTAATGAGCAGGTATGTAAGGACGAGTGACTAAACAACCATTTGCTGTTCTTTCAGGGATCATCGTTCGTCGGTCAAAACATTTAATATCGTTGTTATTTTAAACCTACAAATAACTAAATACGGCGACTGTTTAAAGTAACATAAAATATTTATTAACTTATACAGTTACAGACAACTCTGTAATCTGCATGATGATAGAATTAAAAGCCGAAATTGTAAAAATATTGCGATAAAACGGTCATGATTACATAGTTTAATACAGATAGACAAACGGGAACATTTTCCTCCCGCTCCATTGTCTATGATGGCGTTAAGACCCTATTTTAGTATTTTAAAGAGTCCCTATTTTAGTGATTGATCAAATTGCTGGAGAGTATGTTTGGTGTCCATATTATCCATATTACATAATCAGTGACTTATTTTATTATCAAACTAGCTTAATACGATCATGATATGATAAATACGATCACAATAATATGAAAAGATGATAAAATAGTAAGCATCATGTAATTGTAATCAACCGTCTTAAACGTTACGCTACATTAGTTTAAATAATGGTGGTATTAATGACGACGCATGTACTGGACAACTCTCATCTTGTTGAGTTGTTTTTAAGTTTGTGGCCTTATTATGTGCGCTGTTGTTAATTTGTCCTTTGTGTCTTACTCTTAACTTTGGACTGTCCTAAAGATTATACCTATTTAATATTTATGGACTAAGATAATTATAACGAAACGTCGGTCGTTATTTAACATTGTGTTGTATTTGTCGCCTCAAAATAAGGTATTCGCTATTTTCGATTATCTGAAGTCTGAACATACATGAATTTCAAAAAAATTTAAAATCAAATTTTTTACATTATATATAACCGACGAAATAATCTCCGAGAGGTAACTAAGACTACTTCTAGAATTTTTAAATAAACTTTTACTGTATATATGAACTTATTTTTACTCCGTTATGATATCTGTAAAACTGTTTGTACCTTACAGAATAATGCTTGGAGTTGGACTATAATCTATATATATCTGGATGTTTGTAATTGTATCATGCATGATTTTATTTAGGAAAAATGCTTTTTTTTTTCATTTGTACTGGCAGTGGCATCAAAACTCTGGTTTATCTCTATGAGTATTACTATTATCCCATAACAGTTTTCACTAATTTTTAAGGTCACCGACGTAACATATTCGGTACCGAATATCGAATATCGAATATTTGATGATTCGGTAATCCTATTCCTAAACGCGTCGCGTCACTATACTGGTTAATCGTGCTGATAGTGATACACTCAGAGCAAACAAATTATAAAACAAGTTACTCGGGCCATGTTCGCATGATCTGACTTGCTCAGAGCAATGATCACATCCACAGTTGTTGATAAAATGGGTTTGAGATGAGCCGTGCGGCTGGTTGACACACGTTGCAACCCCTTTTCGCCGCCGATAAGATAAGATAAAAGGTTCAGGTACACAACGTGTAGCAAGTGGCTGGACGGCTGGTGTGTTATGCATTCCTAAGATTTAACTAGATGACGATTAATAAATTGTTATTATATCACGTGACTATTACTTAAACACTTTTTTAAACAATCGAATTATCGTTTTATTACCCTGTAACATGGTTAAGTGAAGGGGTGGGGGATGATTCGGAATCATTGTCCAAACGTATAAAGATTGTTAAGAAATCATATTTTTCTAACAAAATCATATTGCGTATTGACCGTTTTAAAATTCTTTGCTTGAAACAACTATGATCACAACCTGGCCCTAGCCTTTAAAAATGTTTAACAGATACTATTACTATTACTATTAGTATTACTTTCCCCTTCTCATACTGTACGTGTGTGCTCATGCCGTTTTATTATTGGCTTCCTGGTCGTACTTCACAAATATTTTAGCGTGGTTTTTGATTCACGATGTCAATCCTTCGCAGCTCGGTGAGGCACAGTGGTGCATCTCGCCGATCTGCGAGAAGCATTATTTGATGCGCGCGCCCCGTATCTCATAAAACTCAGAAATCGCTTAAAATTATTAAATGTAGTTACATTACAACTTAAAAGAAAATACATTTATCCGATCTCAATATTAGGTGAAAAAATAAAACTCAAAATCGCTTAAAATTATTAAAATGTAGTTACATTACAACTTTAAAGTAAATACTTTTATCCGAACTCATATTAATAAAAACTTTCAATTTCAAACAATTAAGATTCCATAAAGGTTTTGATAGCAATAGATTTTGCTTAGCGCAGTACCTTGTGTTTGTACCCTACAACACTTGGGGTTGGTAATTCACTTGGCATCCGATATCTAAACTTTGACATTAACATGATAGATGTTGTAAAGATATTTTTGAAGTAATTTAAAATGTAACACGACTGTAAGTGTATACTTGATACTCTTGATATCTCGTAAAAGATTGTTTCTATGCTCTCGTAGGAAATCTTCCGTCGTGATAGAAAGGCTGATTGAGGTTCTTCATTGCAAAGCGAATTGTTCTTTATCAACATCACTCAAATCCCCATTCGTCTGGAGTTTAGAATGTAGGTGGTTAGTACTCTTCGTTAGGAAACAAACAACAGATTTCCTTAACTATTAAACCGCTAGGTAATCTGTACCCAGAGGTAGCAATGTAAAACTTCATATTTGCAACGTATGCTAAGTTGTAAAATAGTATGAAATGATTTTGTCCATCTCCCGCTGATTAAGTAACCCTTTTTTACGATTTTTATCGGCTGTTGAGCTTAAAACTTTCTGCGATAACAGATTGATTCATTCATTAACATAGCGACCGTTATAATAGCTTGCGGTGAGCATGTTAGCAGGAAAGATCTACCACAGTACAGTAAATAATCATACCTTCTTGATATCGACTATAAGGTAGCTTTGATTCAAAGTTTTTATATAATGTTTTGTAAAGACCCAAAACTTCACCACGAGTTTTTCAAAATGAAATCTGTACTTTATCTGAGGAAGTGATAGTTGATGATGCAAGTGAAAGTATGTCATATCTTCATATCATCTTACTCCCGGAACATTCTGTAGCTGTCAAAGACACGCATTTCTTATAATGTTTTCAACAAGAAAACAACCCAATCTACAATTTTATCATAAAACGTCATTCTGCAAAAACCAAAAAACTGTTTTTCTTTACTAATTTCACAAACAGAACAAAAACAAGTCGATGGAAATGATTCAATCACTCAGCATTGGTATTTTATAGTATCAGTTTGAGGTAATCTGAAAATCCTGATATTGGTAAAGCTATGAAACTGTTTTCATTAAGCTGCCTCCTCTTTCTTTTTGAGTCATATGTAATTCCCGCAACTAACACAAATTAAGATGATATACCAATAATTTACAACCATATGTAATACAAACTTCTCTGATAAGTAGATGATTCTAGTTCATTCAAAATATACATGAAAAGAAGGTTAATGTAATCGAACTTGAAGACTTTTCCCTCAGAATGAACTTGTTCATGGTGCACCATCAACTTCAAACCCCTCCAGAAAAATAAAATGTTGATTGATTTACTGTTTTAGAAATAGTGAGAAAAAGTTTTGCTCCCTGCTCCATGTATAGAACTAGGTGTTATTTGTTCCTTGAAAAATATTGCATGTTGATTTTCACCTTCAAAATAGAAATAACTTGTTGGGTATTAAGATTGAGAGGTAATTTAAACGCAAAGGTTAGAGATGCATAACTTTGAATACCAACTTGGCAATTTCATGTCTTATTTCACGTAGTATTTAATGCTTTTTTATAGCGTACACAGAGGCCCATACCTGTTATATGCATCTCTAGCTAACTTAATGGAGTCTCTTATGATTGTGAAAGGTTTAATTACTTCACCTCTTTTTTTTTGAGAATATTTTTAGCACTTGATTGTGAGGCTACCTGTATTGCTCAAACAACACGACGTTGTTCAACTGTTATCTTGGATCGCTTGTGTTGGCAAAATCGTAAAATACCAAATGACAAACTCAAAAATAGAATTTTGAAGTGTATGGTAAGGTGGTTTTTTGAACCAACTCATCAATTTGATGATTTTTAACTATTTCGAATTTGAAAAATTTCCTCCATCGTCGTGCGTATAAAGATTGCTTTGTGGAGATTACTCCAAATCCTCATCATCATCTTTTACTGCTTGGAGTTGACTGAGAGGAGTTTATCTTTCTCTACACTCTGTTCGTAGTCCTCCATACCTTATCATGTTGCATCTCGTAAGTTTGGATGTTTTACCATGTGCATCCCGCATTTTTTGGATTCTTTCTCATATTCATCTTCATTTTATCACAAATTCACTAATCTACTTCTATAACCTTCTTTAAGATCAGATATTTTTTCTTCGTACTTCCTTTTGATGTTATCAAGTGTTTGCTGGTAATCTTTCTTTACAATCTTTTAGACTCTAAACAATCTTTCATACAATTTCTTGTAATCAAAAGTGTCAAAAACTATCAATTACGTTAAATAACATCGACTGACCCTCATCATCATAGCTATCAATTATCTTGAGTTGATATCTCCCTGGCCATCATCATCATAACTATCAACAACTCTTAACCCATCATCTCCCGTTCGTCATCACCATAACTGTCAACAACCTTTAGACCCTCGTCAACCCTGCCCGACATATTTTGAGGATCTGGGTTAGGTTTAATTTCTTAAACTCTAGGTTTTTCTCTAGTTGTCTTGAGTTTGTTTATAGGAGGGAGCATCTCACGTTTTTTTTGGTTTGTGTGGTAAAATTATAGCTTCTAGGTCGTTTAGAAGATTTGCTCCATCATGAGAATGGTTAACCACATTAGTTTTGGCTCAGGATGTGCTAAATGTTGTGTTGATATAAGATGTGTTTGTTGGGTAAGACTTACCGCACTTATCGCATTGTCAACTCATTTTTAGAAACTAATAACCAATCGTGTATTTATAGGCAGAAAATAAACACAAAACCCATAATGAATTTGAAAACCCGTATGAGGATCCCAGCTTCCCGGATCTTTAGTGGAAAAATCGTTTTTAACCAAGAACTTCGAAAGGAGGATATCTGTTAGTCCAAAACTGTTACAGAAAAATTAAATGGGGGGGGGGGGGGGGGGGGGGGGGGGGGGGGGGGGGGGGGGGGGGGGGGGGGTTAAATAATTGTGTGTTAAAACAATCGCATAGCTAACACTACACAAACCAGAGAAAAAACCTACTTTATATCGTAGGATATGACAAAGGGAATCAATTACTTGTACCAATGTGATCTAGTTGATTTACGAGTTTGCACAAACATAACAATGATTAATAAAAAAATATATTTATACAATGGATGATAATTCAATTATTGACACATTTATGCAAAAAAGCATGGGCTGTAGCTTCAAGCGATGAATAAACAAATCCTGGGCCACAGATGAGACATCTGTGTTGTAAACTATCGATACATGAGGTACAACTCGCTCTATATCGATATCAGCAGACAGAAGCTACACCTCAAAAGATGCAATTTGATCAGGAACGGAATTTACAACAAAAAGTTTTTTAAATCTTCTAGAAAAATTATAAATAAAACATTATAGTTGGTTTTTAGTGATAAAAAGGGAGCTATAGTTGAACGATTCAATAGAACTTTAAAAACACGGATGTTTTAAGTAACGATATTGTACTTCTAAAGGTACCACGCGGTGTGGCACTCTATGCGCTACACACAATGTGCTTCAAGAGATTTGGTTGATGGTTACATAATACAAACACAGATCTATACAACACACTCCTATTAACGTTATCAACGGCAAATGAAGCGGGTGAGAAAAATTTTGTTTCCAAAAGTGAAAAAAAAAAAAATTTACCAAAAAACATTTTAAATTGGTGATAGTGTGAGAATACCAAGACAAAAAGAACGTTTCAAAGGGTATGAACAAACGGAAGTCACTACAGCGTGAAGGTGTCTTTAGATCACGTCATTCAGTGAAATCAAAAAGACTATCCTACACATACATGTTGAAGGACTATAAAGGGGAAGAAATCAAGGGTTCATTTTACACCCATGAAATACAGTTGATTGATAATCTAATTGAA